ATTTATTGTTGTAAGCCGCCCCGAGGCTTCGGCGAATGGGGCGGCATACAACAATAAATTAAAACAACATTTTAAAATATATACATTAAAATAAAATACAAATATACGATATAAAACATACAATATAAAACAAGCCGCCCTGGCCAGATAAAATTCAATAATACTAACATTTAAAATGCTGCTTAAATAAAAAGGTCTTCGCCTGGCGCCAAAAAACAAATAACGACGGCACCAGGTGGACCTCTCTGGGGAGCGCATTCCATAACTTAGGCGCCACCGCTGAGAAAGCCCTCCTCCGAGTAGCCACCCTCCTAACTTCTTCCACGGAGGGCTCCTGGAGGAGGGCTCTCCCGCCGATCTCAGGGGGCGGCTGGGCATATATGGATGTAAGCGCTCCTTCAGGTAACCAGGACCCAAGCCTGTTATCTTTCAATTTTTTGGCTGCAGTCTCCCTTTGAATTGATGACTGAGCTGAGGTATATAAAATCTTTCACTGTTTCAATTTCTCAATTGTAATGTTCTTTCATTCTTTTGTGGTCATGATTTTGTTTTCTTAGTATTCAGCTGCAGTCCTGCTTTTACACTTTCTTCTTTCATCCGGTGTGTTGTAAGTCATTCCTGCTTTCTAGTATGGCGTCATCGGTGTCTCCTAGTGCTGAAGAGTCTTCTGCCATTTTTCACTCCTCCTTGATTCAATTCCAGCTTTCCTTATGATATGTTAAACAGATAGTGGGGTAGAATGCAGCCTTGACTGGCACCTTCGCCTGTGGGAAATCATTCCGCTTCCCCGTATTCTGCCCCAATAGTAGCCGCTTCTCCATGATACAGGTTACAGTCAGGCCAATCAAGGGCTGAGGCGCACCATCCATAGCGTGTGATGCACACAGCCAGAGGATTTACAAAGCATAGACAGACCTTTTCCTGACATTCTTCGGTGTGGTCCAGTAGCCAGTGTATATTTGCATATGATCTCAGTGCCTCTTCCTTTTTGGAATCCAGCTTGACTCTCCGGCATTCCTCCATGATGGGTTGCATTCTTTGTCGCAACACTTGGCTTGCATGGGAAATTAATGCGGTGCTCCTCTGGTTGCTGTGCTCTTTGTATCTCCTTCCTTGGAGACTGGAATTTGAATATTAAACATTTTGAGGCCCTGGGCCACTGATTAGTTTTCCATATTTGCTGGCATATTCTTACTAGGATTTGCACTGATTCATTTTCTGTTGCTCAGAATAGTTCTGTTGGTATCCTGCCTATTCCCAGTGCTTTATTCCTTGGGAGTGCTTTCGGGGCGGCTTTCACTTCACTTTGTACTATTGCAGGCAGTCCTTCGTAGGATTCCTCTTCAAAGAAGGCTGCCATTCTTTCGTCTCTTCTCTGTGTTATTTCCACCTTCTCTTTATTTTCTTTTGGTCAGATAGAATGTTCTCTTATTTGTCTGTTAGCATTCCTACCCTAGGTTTCTTGTACCTTGCTTTTCCTCTTTTGCCATTCTCTTCTATTTCCTTGCACTTGACATAGTAATAGCCGTTTTTGTCTCTACATGATAGTTGCTGAAAAGTTACATTCAGGGTTGTGATCCTATTTCTGTCACTTTTTGCTTCTGCTTCTCACCTGTCCTTCAATAACTGGGAGTTGGGAATCATTTCCACTCAACTGAATGTATCAAAAGAACATCACTGAAGTATTAAAAGGCTCTCACTGGCACAATAGGTTGAGAAATGTTTGGTTGGCTTCCTGCACCCTGTCTTCACTCTGGTACCACCAGTCGTTACGTTCCCCAGTTAAACTGAGCCTTGAAGTGCAATTGAACCCGACAGAAGGAATTGCTCTTGGTCCCAGCTCTGAGGGAGCATAGCTAAGAGTCTTCATGGGACCCCCGTTCTGGCTGACAGGCAGAACTTCTTCCTGCTCCTACTGGAAGATGCTTGACCTTCCCGAGGCCAATGATGTCCCTTCTTCCCTCAAGTTCAAGCTGTGAGGCAGCCAGTAGGAACCAAAAAGGAAACCGTGGATGTGGGGAAGAGGAAGGTGCTGCCTGGCTGCACGGTCCGGTGTGCTGTGCTGCAGCAGAGGATGCATGGGGGGAACCCACAAAGATCTGTGGGGATGCCTGTGTGCCGTGGCCTTTGGAGCGCTGGAATGGCCTCATTCTTTTCGGGCGAGGAACGTTTGGTTGCTCTTGCTTCACTCTGGCATCATGCTAGGGATGGTGCTGAATGGAAGTAGCAGAATATTTGGTGCTTCTGCCGACTGCCGCTTGCCGCGGCTGCCTGTTGCACTTGGAGGAGAGTCGCTCTCTTGCCACCCCCTGTGTGTGTGAGAGAGAGAGACCGAGCGAGCCAGTGATTTCCTGCATGTTCCACTTGATAATTGCCTTTCCGGAACATGTCCCATACAGAGCAGGCGAAGCAGGAAGTATGGACAATGACACTCTTTCAGCAGCGCATCGACTGTTTCCTTCTCTTGAGAGTTCTGCTAGCTGCAGCCCTGAAAATGTCACCGTATATCGACCTTCCAGGAGAGGTGGGGGACCTGTTTGGCAGAATTTGCCTCCCAACAGATATTGGGGAAATTGAAATCCTCCCTCATGATGATATCAAGTATCCTTGAAACGCTGGCTGTCTGCTTTTCAAAAGTTTCTTCCTTGCCTTCTCCCTGACTGGGTGGTGATGAGCAGAGTCCTGCAGGGCTCTGTCCTGGGGCTGATCCTGTTCAGACTTTTCATAAATGACATGAAAGAAGGGGTGAACAGTCTGCTGATCAAAATTCACAGATGACACTAAAACTGGGGCAGAGGCCACAACTGAGGAGCAGGTACTCTGGATCCAGAAGGATCAGGACAGACTATGGAAGTGGACGGGGGACAACAGGATGGTGTTCAGTGTGGATAAGTGCAAGGTCTTGCACTTGGGGCATAGGGATGGGTGTCGTAAGTACAGGTTAGGGGACAAGTGGCTGGAGAGCAGCACTTGCGAAAGGGACCTCGGGGTGCTGGTCGGCTGCAGGCTAAACATGAGCCAGCAGGGTGATGCGGTGGCCAAGAGGGCAAATGCCACTCTTGGATGCATAGCCAGAAGTGTGGCTTCTAGATCGAGAGGTATTACTACCACTTTATACGACTCTGGTGCGCCCACAACTGGAGTACTGTGTTCAGTTCTGGACTTCACATTATAGGAATGATATAGCCAGGCTGGAATCGGTGCAGTGTAGGGCCACCAGGATGGTGGTCAGATTGTAGGGGAAGCCATATGAGGCAAGACGGGGAGAACTGGGTCTCTTCAGCCTGGAGAAGAGGAAACTTTGAGGGGATCTGTTGGCTACCTACAGGTACATGAGGGGGTGTCATGCTGAGGTGGGTGGAGACCTGTTTTCCCCTGTGGAGGAAGGCAGGCTGCATTGCAATGGAGCCAGGCTCAAGGAAGCAAGGTTCAATTTGGATGCCAGGAAGTGCTTCTTGACAGGTCATGGAATGGGCTTCCATGGGTGGTAGTTGAAGCCCCATCAGTGACGATGTTCAAGGACAGGCTGGAGATGCACATGGTGGGCATGTCATGAGCGGAACCAGCTGGAGCCAGAGGTCAGACTGGATGGGCCAGATGGGCACTTCTGACTCATTCTGTTTCTATGTTTCACCTCATATCCTAAATTTCTGTCGCATCCCTTGGAACTTCTCAGCTCTTGGGAACCTTTATCCCTTGCCATCCAGGTACTCTGCTTCCAGAACAGTTAGACTGACCTGGTCTTCTCAATAGTGCTAAGCAATTCCGAGCTGCTTACATTTGTTGAGGGTCGCCAGTCTCTTCCCAGAAAGGGATCCAGGGATCGGCAGATTGTGGAATACTTAGTGATGATGGCCAGATGGTGGTGCAGCTCAATCTCTCACTGCAGTCTCATCTGCTTACATGTTCCCTCTGTCCCTTCTCTCTCTTTTTAGACTGTCAGCATCAACAAGGCCATTAATGCTCAGGAAGTTGCTGTCAAAGAGAAACATGCCAGAAATATCCTTTCCGGAGTTGGCAATTCTGAAAGGAGGAGCAAAACGAGGCCACCGTGATTGCCTGGGGCTTGTGTCCCTTGTCTGTGAACAGGCGAATGTCCACTGTGGCCTGGCCAGATGGAGCTGAAATGGAGCACGTATGAGTTGCGATGCTTCCGTGTGGTCTCATTGCCTGGCTTATCAGCAAGCCAAGTGTTCTTGTGGTTGCCCTGCCCCTGGCTGAGGAAATGGCCACAAGAGGGGCCCAAATTCAAAGTGAGGACAGGAGGCTGTTCCCCTTGTGAGCGGGAGAAGCAGCAGGTGGGACCCACTTGTTGGTCAGGTGGGCGTGCTTTGTGAGGGAAGCCCTAACAACAGGCTGAAGGGCTGCATGGGTTCAAGGCACAGTGCCTGCTCTTTGAGCGTTTTCCTTGGTGTTCAGCATGGAGGGAAACCCATGCTGCTTTTGGGACAAGCCCCCAAGTTCCCAGGTGGGCTCCTGGGTTTGCAGCTGAGGGCTAAAGAAGGGAGACTCACAGCAGGTGTGTGCAGGGCCAGTCGACGTTTCCACTGAAGTTGAGGGGCATCTTGCAGGGCCTGATACTCCGGCCGTGCTCCAGTCGCCATGTGCCCTTGGTGCCTCCTGTCTCAGACTTTCCTTAGCTTGCCTCTCACCATGCATCCTGGGGACGCACCATGAGAAAGGTGCCCATACCTTTTGGTCTGTGGTGAACCGTCTGCCCCTGTCCAGCAACGCTGTCCTCTGCTGGAAGTTCTGCCATGTTTTCCACAAGCTTCTCCGTGATGGACATCCAAATGTAAGGCCAACGCTCCTCTTCTCCCTTTTTCCTTCAATTTGTTCCTTTGCTTTGACTGGCCTCATGATTCTTGGGGTTCCTTGTCCCTTAGCTATCTGATGCCCCAAGACTACGTTCTCATCTGCTGCTGTCTTTGTCTGAGGGACTGACAACTGCCCCTTCCCTATGATTATTAATCCTCTGAGCAAGTGAACATTCAAGTCCGTGTTGGAGGCTTCATCAGTATCAGCGCTATACAAATTATATATTTTTTCAATGTCATCAAATGGCCATCTTTATCCTATTTCCTGCTGGTTCTGTCAAGATCCAGATGTTGCAATGGGATGCTCGAAACTTACTGTTCTGAAATTTTTCAAGCATTCTGATGGCAGCAAGACTTCAAGGAAAGGGCAGTTCTCTTGTGCTAGTCCAAATTTTATGTATTTATTTAGTTATTTGGAATTTTTGTATGCTGTCCTATTCGCATAAGCCTCAGGACGGCTTCCAACATATAAATTAATATCTATACAAATACATATAAAATCTAGAAACATCCTGGCAATAATTTAAAACCAATAAATATTTTAATCAGCACTTATTAAAATATTGTTTAAATAAAAAGGTCTTGGCCTGGTGCTGAAAAGCAGATGTGCAGGAGAAATAGCCATGGACAGCACTGGGCCTCATCTCTGTCTGGGAGGGGCATCTTGTATTTTTGGCTGTAGATCAGAAGGTGACTAAAGCAGCCTTGGTGGTGGGCGGCTCTTCTTAATCTGACCTGCCTGGATTCGCCTGCTTAAAGTCATTATTTTGCTGCATATTTGGAATCAGGGCAAATACATTTGGAGAATTGCACATTTTTACTTATAGACCTTATAAGCCCTGTGAGAAATGCAACTTTTTCCTTGTTCAGTGCTCAGTGTTTATTGTTGGCCTTTTAAAAATGTGAGGTAGTTTAATCTATAGAAGTTCTCAGGTTCTCATGAGCGGTTAATGTTCATTTGTTTTTTGTTGAAAAGACAGTACATTCAGTTCTCGGTCTTTTTTATGCTAAGCCACAAGCCTGATTCTTCTGTAACTTGCATCTAGGATACTGCGTTCTGGCAATACCAAATGCAGGCTCAGTGCAGACATAGTGTAACCTTGTGATTAATACGAAACCACTTTTGTATTTTGCTGCTCAGACGCACTCATTCACTTGCCATACAACAGGCTGGAGAGAGTTGGGGAGGCCGACCTGGCCATGCGTGGCAGGTGCTGGTGGAGAACCACAGAGCCACAGGGGCTGATGCAAGTTGTGCTTTGATGAGCTGCTCCAACACTCATCATAGCTTGCAGCCGGTTCTTGAGACCAGCCTCTCTAACCTGGCACCTTCCAGCTGTGTGCTTCTCCGAATTCCAGCATCCCCCAGCAAGCTTTGGCTGGCTGGGCAATCGTTTCCCTTATCCATAGTTATGGAAAGCCCTTCGACCACCCTGAAGCATTCCGCCCTGTTTTTTTCAGCGGAGGATACGTGGTTTCTTCTTGGCAGACCTGGTTATTTTGATGACCCCTCTCCCCACCCGGAATGCCTGTTCAAATTCAGAGTCTTTCCAACGGGTGTATTGCCACCCAGGTCCCAAATGGATGCTCCCTCCAACTCCTCCTATCTCTGTTCCTCTGGCTGCAGGTTTTGAAGGATTCTGTGAGGTACAAGAGCGAACTCGGCGACATGAGCCGCATGTGGGTGAGTGCTGCCTAGGCCTCCAGAGAGCCGCGTCACTGGCTAATGGGCGTCCTCCTTGCACGGGGGACAGCGAGCAGCTGCCCTCCCATCTGCCCCAGGCAGAAAGGCTGATGGGCAGCAGCAGCTGACGGGCTGCCATTTTGCCGTTCCTGCTCGAGGGGCCTGTGTGGTCCTGAGGTCAAAGCAAATGCTGCTGGTTTAGAGCAGAAGGAGCACAGAGTTACTGTGGACCAGGGCTGTGGAAGCTGCCGGAGCTGCACTGGAGCAGTGGAGCACAATATATAAAAACTACTAACCCGTTGTAGCTTCAGTCTTTCACTCCTGCTGCTGCTAGCAGCGAAGTCGCGACCGACCCATCGCGACCCCATGGACAACACTCCTCCAGGCCTTCCTGTCCTCCACCATCGCCCGGAGTCCACTCAAGCTCACACCAACTGCTTCAGTGACCCCATCCAGCCACCTCATTCTCTGCCCTCCCCTTCTCCATTTGCCATCTATTGTTCCCAGCATCAGGCTCTTCTCCAGGGAGTCCTTCCTTCTCTTTAGGTGGCCAAAGTATTTGAGTTTCATCTTTCGGTAACAAAGCCTTTGGAGAGACATGTCAGCTTCACAGAATAAGGAAAAGAAGCATGATACAAGGGAGATAAAGGAAAAGATATTGTGCTGGGGTTATAATGTTATTAGCTCTATTAAGGAGTATCAAGGAGGCTGTTAGAGGAAAGAACACTACTCCCAGAGAGTGGAAGTCTTTGCCCAAAGGAGGAGGGCACGTGAGAGCACAAACTTGTGCAAAGGAGGTACAGGAGACAATATGAGATACAACACATTTTAAGAGCATATTAAGGTCAACATTAATTATTTAACTATCCCAGAAGTAGAAAACCGTATAGGGAGGCAAATGTACTGTTGGATGACAGTGAAGCTAAAGAAGCACTAAAGGCGGGGGGGGGGGGGGGGGGGGGGGGCGAGCGGGTGAGAGAATGCAGGGAAGCTGAATGAAGTCTTTTAACCTGCTTTCACTGTAGAAGATGCTGGGCAGAAACCTGTGCCTGAATTTATATTTCCAGGAAGCAAGCCTGAGAAATGGAGGCAAACAGTGGTGATGAACTATTATATTCTCAAGTGATAACTTGAAAGTTAACAAATCAGCAAGTCCAGATAGTGTCATTCCTAGAATTCTGAAAAAGCCTCAAGATGTGAAATTGCTGGTCTTCTGACAAACATGTCCCTGACATCAGCTTCTGCACTAGGGGACTGGAGAATGGCCATTATAACACCAATTTTTACAAAGGGGTCCAATGGGATCTAGGAAATTGCCAGCCATCCCCAGTCCCCTGCAGGAGGGTAGAGGAAATGGCAGAAGTCCTTGCTTTGCCTGTGGAAGTTCCCGGGTTTCGTCCCCAGCACCTTGGGGAGGGAAGACCCCTGCAATCTTGGAAACTCTCCGCCACCCATGTTGGCAGTACTGGACTGGGTGGGCCAAGGGTATTACTCTGGACAAGGCCCTTCTTTGCCTCCGGTGTCCCATGTGCTTACAGGGCCGAGCAGTGCCACTGCAAGACCTGCCCGCACTGTGTTCTGTCAGTCCCCCTTGAGCTGCCCCAAAGGGCCAGGGGTCGCCCCCTTGGCATCCCCTCCTGAACTTTTCCAGAGCTGCGGGCCCTGGGCGAGCCTCCTGCTGGGAAAACATGGTCCGTATGCAGGTCTCGGGGGGCTGGCCCTATCCTGGGGCCACATGGGTGTCGGCGAGCAGAGCTTGGACGGGGATGGAACATGTGGCTATCCTGAGCTGGTGCGAGGCCTGGCCTGAAAGGCCTTTGTGTGCGTGCAGAGCAACCACAGCTCCAGCTGCGGCACAGACGAGGTTGCTGGGTGAAAGGCCCCGTCGTGACCCCCGTGCTGCTGCTCCCTCCCCTTTAGGGCCACCTGAGTGAGGGCTACGGACAGCTGTGCAGCATCTACCTCAAACTGCTGAGAACCAAGATGGAGTTTCACACAAAAGTAAGTCTTCTCCCTTGACCATGTGCTCTGGCCAGCCAAAGCGGTCTCAGGTTGGAGAGGGGATCGAAAAGTCACACTGGCCCAGACGCTGGGGTCCAGGTGAAGTGGGGAGGACAGCAGACACCTTAGGGATGCAGCGGTCGTACCCCCTTTGGGAACTCGCTGCTGCTGGCCCAGGAGACGGCCCGGGAAGACTGGGATGCCTGGTCTTGTCTCATCTCATTTATGGGACTCCCCTGCATATTCCAGCGGTGCTGTTTTAATAGGCAAACTGCTGCACTCTTTGTGATAATGCTGCAGCACCTGATGCACCTTCATAAGCTTCTAGTCAAACCATCTGCCTGCCTGGAGTGGGTCGCTTCTCTTAGTAGGGAGACAAAATGCCAGGTGTTGATCATGCTCAGCACAGTCTTGGCACAAACAAAAGATCTATGAGGGAAAGGAGGGGTGAGGAGAACCGGGTTGTGCATTTGCCCATCTCAAGAACTCACCTACCTTTGTAAGTTATTCCGTAGCCCCTCACTTCTTCCTGTTTACCTTGACTGGGAAAGAGAAGTTCGAAGAGGGCTATTAGGAGACCTTAAATCTTCTCATATATGTGAAAGATCAGACTAAATAACCCCAAAGATCCTTGGCACTTGGGCCTGCACTGCTGTCTAGACCCCAACAAAGCGGGAGGGTGGCTGGCGATTGGTGGCCAGGCTTTTCCTGCTGCCTGAGTGTTTCTCTGCAGCTCCCTTTCTGGGACTGCATTGCCGTTCAAGCTGTGCTTGACTCCAGGCCGGCCCATTGGTCTCAGCTGCATCCCATTTGGGAGCGGAAATGGGAGTAGATATTTATAGAATAAAATCTGGCTGGTTGGACGGGGAAGCTGGGTTTCTGCCTGAGCCCAGAGACAGGCAGGCCTGGGTTGCTTCTGCAGGCTGAATCTGCCTGGTGAGCAGGGCAAGGGCAGCTCCTGCATCCATTCAAAGGCTGCTCGTTCAGCCTGGATGGAGAAGGAGCAGATCTGTCGCACCGAGGAATTGCCGCCTCTGGAGTGCTGGCCAGGCACTGCTGTGCTCCTGCCCAATTTGCAGGATTATGTCGTTCATCTAATATCCTGTTTTCTCAAGGGTCACATTCCAGGAATGACTTTGTATCTTTCTCTGTTCACTTGTTCCTTTGTGGACTGGAATCTGCAAGCAAGAAATGCCAGCCTTCTTCTCATTCCTTGTACTTCTAAATGGCATTGAAGAAATGGATTGGCTTTAAATTTGAAGACGCAGAAGTGCAGAGAGAGGCTTCCCTGCGTGTGAAAGGGGAGGAAGCAGTGTTGTCCCTGGCTCAGCCCCTCAGTCCTGGCGCTGGCCAGCTGCTCTCCTGGGCATCGGTGTGCTGGGGCGCTTGAAAGGCAGAGGGCTGGCCTGAGCCTTCCTCTCCCCGGAGCCAGGCCTTGGCTGATTCTGTGTCTCTGTCTCTCCATGTGCAGAACCCCCGATTCCCCGGAAACCTCCAGATGTCGGATAGGCAGCTTGATGAGACAGGCGAGAACGATGTCAATAACTTGTAAGTGTGCTGCTCAAGCAGGTCCTGGTGGGGGATTTGGGGGCCCTGGTTGAGCCGCCCCACACTGTGCCAGGTTGCTGGGAGGGCACAGAGCAGGGCTTGGGGTGGCGTGGGTGCTGCTCTGGTGCTCCTCGCTTCCATCCAGGGCTGTTGGACCCTGTGCTTGGAGTGGCTTTGCCTGCCTTCTGGGCTTCCACAAGGTGTCCAGGATGGTCCCATCAGGTTGACCATGGCCCCCCGTTTTGCCTTGGAGCATCCTGCATTCAGTTTCTCCTTCTCTCTCAGTTTCCAGCTCACTGTGGAGATGTTTGATTATCTGGAGTGTGAACTGAACCTGTTCCAGACAGGTAATTTTTCTCAGAGGCTGAAGATAAGGCCCTGTTCAAGGCGCCACGCCTCATTTGCTGGCTGTGTGTGCATCCTTTATGGTCATTGAGGCACATTGTCCATCCCCATTTTCCCTTTTTGAGGGTCAGGCTAATACAGTAATTGTTATGTATTTATTACAATTTATACATTGCATTTCAGGATACAAATCCTATTAAGGTGGCTTATGAGTAACATAAAAGCAGCAAAATCATAACAAACAAGATGATCAATTAAAAGAAAACCATATCAGGATCCCTGAGTGGCCTCCCCAGCCTGGTGGCTCAGCGCCCATCAGCCCTAGCCAGCTTGGCCAGTGCTTGGGAATTCTGGGAGCTGGAGGCCACTGGTGTGGGCACAGCTGCCTCAGGGTATCAGAGTTCCCCTCTGCTCTGATTCTGAAAAGGAAAAATCCATTTCTTTGTGAGCAGGAATCTGTTACGTTGCCCCGAAGGCTTTCTTTGCTTCCTCCATGTTGAGCGCAGACATTGCCAAGTGGTCGTGTCCCTTTTTGTCGCCATTTGGTCTGTGTCTGGTTGTAGCCCACCTGGCATAAGGCTGCAGGCTGGGAAGAGGGGCTTGGGAGAGCAAAAGGTCGCCGGTTCGAGTCTGCACAACGGGGTGAGTTCCCGTTGCTCCATCCCAGCTCCTGCCAACCTTGCAGTTCGAAAGCATGCAAATGCAGGTAGATAAAAAGGTGCCACTTCGGTGGGCAGGTCACAGCGTTCCTGCTCCTCGGTGTTTAGTCATGCCGGCCCCATGACCATGGAGACTGTCTGTGGACAAGCGCTGGCTCCCTGTGCTAGGAAACGGAGATGAGCACCACCCCCTAGAGTCAGGCATGACTGGATTTTAATGCCAAGGGGAAACCTTTACCTTTACTGCATATGTAAGTGGAAAATTGCATGTATCATTACTGGCAAAAATGCTCAAATTATATATTTGTATTTTTAAATCTTAAGCATTAGGTCCCACTTTTAAACAGAATTGCTTATTTTTTAAAAAAAGCCAATCTCTGTAGCATGGTGGGAATATTGTGTACAAATCTAGTTGCCGCATCCCAAAATGAAAGGTGCAGAAAAGGGTAAGCAAGCTGATGAAGTCTGTGGAGCAAGCTGCTCTGTGAAGAAGGCTTACAGTGCCGGAGACTTCCTCAGTTTACAAGAACGGCGAATAAGGAGAGGCTTGACAGTGGCGCACCAAACTTTGTCTGATATGGAGGCAGTGGAGAGAGTGACATTTCCTTCCTCCGTATAATACCGGAATGCAAAGGGGTCATTCCTAGAAGGGGAGTGGTGGCAGTTCAGGTCAGGTCAATGGCAGGAGTACAGACAAACTGTGCAGGACGGGAGTCAGGCTTGTACTGGCAGCCTCCATTTTGGCCAGCTTTAAAACGGGATTGGGCAAATGCAGGAAGGATGTTGTTGTCAGTCGCAAAGTCCTGCCCGACCCGTCGCGACCTCGTGGACGACATTCCTCCAGGCTCTCCTGTCCTCCACCATCCCTCAGAGTCCACCTGGTATGCAGGATACCAGCACCTAGTCAGGATGGCTTCTATTACTTGATTACCTGAAGGATTATGCCTTTTGCAACCAGGGCTTTCAGACATGGCTTTTATTATATGACTATCCAACCTTATTCCCAGAATTTTAATCAGGGGCCTAGACGGTGTTGTGTTCCATCTGTAACCCTCCCATGTTTTCCCACCATTTCTGTCGTTTTTCTGATCATAGATAATCCAGTAAGAAAGAGAAGGAAGAATACCAACAAAAGGCTTTCTCATTGGTAGTGCAAGGAGCCCTCCATCTGGAGGCACTCCAGTGGGCAGGGAGTATGAAGGGGGGGGGGTTATTGGGTGGATTGCTTGTGGCGTTCCCAGTGGGGCTTCCAGTTGGCCAATGGACTGCTGGACTGGAGAGGATTTGGGACTGATCCAGCTGCCATGGCTCTCACGTTCTTACGTAATTAGGAGGAAGAATGAAATGGAAACCAACATTTGTCTTTTGTGAGCCATCTTGAGATCTGTCTTAGATATTGGCCAGGAATATTAGACAGGAATCAATCAATCAACCAACCGGTCTTGTGCAACTGAGATCATGCTGCAAACAGACAGTTGCCCCCGCCCCCTGCCAAATAATGTCATTGTGGGAAATTCCTTGTTGGGCAAAATTGAAACCCAGGTGTGTTGCAAAGTCACATGGTCTCGCCAGGTATGCTCTCACCCTGGAGCACAGCTTAGAGATGTGACTGAGAAGCTCCCTTCCTGAAAGAGCTGTGATGAGCACCTTCTGTGGAGAATAATCCAGCCTTTCTGTAGTCCCAGCTTTTGACTCTTCCTTTCATTTATTTTCTATATTTTTTGTCCATATAATGACAGAAAGATTTTCTAGGCAGTTACGATAAAAATTGAAATTGTCAAATACATAAAACCAGTAACAAAGTGATAAAATAAAAATCTAATGTAGCATAAATTTTGGGAATGTCTTAGAACTTAAAACATAAATAAATCCTTAAAAGTAGGTTAGATTATTCAAACAATTAAGAAATTAAAAAGATTTTCAGCTGCCACTGGAAGCCCGCAGTGTAAGCATCCAGTGAGCTTCCATTTAAGACAGGGGTGCCACCACTGAGAAGGCCTACCTCCAGTAGTCGCCTGTTGTATTTTCATTTGATGGGAGCATCCAGACAGTTCCTTTGTCATCCAACCAGTTCCCCAGCTCATTTCCTTCTCCCAGGGTATTAACATATTTTTAAATCAATGCTTTTAATGTTCTTAGCAGCAGGTTCCATAAATTCTGTTCTCGTACACTTTATCATTTGCACGTGCATCTTCAGCCTGTGCTTGCATTCCCTTTTGCCTTCCTCATTTGGGCAATGTTGCCATTTTCCTACAGGAAGCTTTGGATGCAATAGCTTTTCAGTTGCCTACAGGAGCTAACCTTCTGCCTCCTTGGCTGTGATCCCATCTTCTCTGATTAGTGGTGTCTTTTCTAGCTGAACTTCTGTTGATGTAGTTTTAAATACCATCCCCTAATCCTGGCCAGGTCATACTAGAGAGAGTTGGCCCTTTGGCTTTCTCTTTCAGTTTTCCCTTTCTAGTTTCTTCATTTCCTCTTTTAAAGACCAGTGTGACAGTGTTTGGCTTCCTTGGTGATTTTCCACTTGTATACGGTAACTGAAATTTTCGTAGAATCATAGAGTAGGAACATAGAAACAGTGAGTCAGATGTGGCCTCCGGGGCCATCTAGTCTGACCCCCGGCTCCAGCCGGCTCCACTCACAACATTCGCTCACAAATTCCTTGCTGTTTGTTGATATTCTTCCTTTTGGCCTTCCATTTCCTGTACATGTTCTTTTTTTTTTTTCAGCCACATGGACTTCCTCTGTTGTCTTCTACACTTTTTTCTAGTTGGAATTATTCATGGTTGTGCTGCTAGCATCTCCTTTTTTAAGATTCGCCACCCTTCTTGACTCCTTTTTCTTAAGGAGCCATGGTACCTCGCTTATCATTGCTCTTAGTTTGTTAAAGTTGGCATTCTTGAAATCTAGGATGATGTGTTTGGCTGCAGTTAATCTTTGTCTTCTTTATAATTGAGAATTCTAGTATCGCATGGTCACTTTCCCCCAGGGTTCCTGCAGCTGCTATTTTGTCCACCAGGCCATCCCTGTTAGTTTTAAATTGAGAATAGCTGATCCTCTTGTTCCTTCCTCTTCCTTCTGCTGGAGGAAGTTGTGGGCAATGCATGTCAGGAATCTCTTGGAGGGGCCACGCTTGGCAGAATTTGTCTCCCAGCAAATATCAGGGGAATTGAAGTTTCCCGTCATGACTACCTCATCACGCTGACAAGTTGCTTTTCGAAGGTTGCATCCTTGTCCTCTTTTTGACTGGGTGGTTGGAAATAGATGCCAATAACTATGATTTTCTTCTGTTTTGCTCCCTTTAAATTAAGCCAGAGGCTTTCAGTGGGGCTACTCAGTTCCTCTTCTTTCATTTCTTTGCAGATATGTGTGTTTCCCTTTCAGTCCTTTCTGTTTTTCCCAAACAGGTTGTATCCATCAGTTGTAGAATTCCAGTCATGTGAGTCGTCCCACCAAGTTTCAGTTAGTCCTATAGGATCGTAATTGCCCTAATGTACTTTGAGCGCAAGTTCATGTTTGTTTCACATACTCCGGGAATTCGGGTAGAGACGTTGAAGTTCTTTCCTGGTGAGTCCTGGGAAAAAAGTTAGGGACCTTCCCTTGACTTCCCTTGCTCTTGGATGTATAGCCAAGGCTGTGGCTTCCAGATCAAGGGAGGTGCTGGTGCTGTTCTATAGGATAAAGCACATGTTGGGGATTACATGCATGGAGCCAGCTGGAACTGGGGGTCAGACTAGATGGCCCAGGAAGCCCCTTCTGACTCGCTTTTCTTCCGTGTTTCTAGAAGACTCTGGTGCTCCCACAACTGGACGACTGTGTCCAATTCTGGGCTCCACATCACAAGAGGGACATAGCAAGGTTAGAAGCAGTTCAGCCCAGGGCCACAAGGAAGGTAGCTGGATTGCGGGGATGCCTTATGAAATAAGATTGAGGGACCTGGAACTTTGCAGCTTGGAGAAGAGGAGACTGAGAGGGGATCTTATAGTGGCTTACAGATATGTGAAGGGGGTAGTTGTGACCTGTTCTCCCCTGTGGTGGAGGGAAGGACGTGATCTGGTGGGGCAAAAATAAAGGAACCAAGCTTTAGGTTGGATGTCAGGAAGTACTTCCTGATGGTTAGGACCCCTAGGCTGTGGAATGGGCTTCCATGGGAAGTAGTGGAGGCCCTATCAGGGAGGGTGCTCAAGGCAAGACTGGACATCTACATGTTGGATATTAAATGGGCAGAGCTGGAGATCAGGCAGGATGGCCCAGGAGACCCCTTCTGACCTGCTATGTTTTTGTGTGTCCCTGTGCACTTGCTGCCTGGGAGCTTGGCTGCTTGTATCCCAGAGGCCCTGAGGCAGCTGGTTCTGCTCTGCTCTGCTCTGCTCTGCTCTGCTCTGCATCAGGAGCCGGGATGAATCGCCCCCACCCACACAAGCTGCTGCCAGCTGATCAGGCCACCCCTTGCTAAGGTTGCTAAGTTAGTCAGTCACTTCCTTTCAGTCGCATCTCCCAGAGCCTCTTAGAAAACAAAAGACTGTTTGCTGGGGTGGTGCAGGCCCCTCTGCATTGCCTCTGCCTCCTCTTCCACTGCAGCTCTGCCACCAAACTCCTGTTTATCCGCTCTGGTTTCTGGCTCCCTGGGAGTTTGGCTGCTTGTACCCAGGAGGCCCTAGACCAGCTGGGGCAGCTTGCTCTGATGTGCTCTGCTAAGAGTGTTGTGGGTACTGTTTCCAGTTTGGCTCAACAGCCTGATGTTTTTGGTCACATCCTGGGGCTCTCGGACTACACTGGGAGCTCCCTCCCCCCTAGTGGTTTTGTGACTAGCACAGTGCTTGAAGGCACCTCCGAAGGATACCAGGTTGGGGAGGGGTGGTTCTAGGTTCTCTAGAAATGTTTTCCCCTTGCCGCCACCAGAACATGAATGCATCCCCGTGTGTGCAAGGGATTAATGGCTGGCTTCATTGTTTGTTTCCAGTGTTCCGCTCTTTGGACATGTCCCGCTCGGTGTCTGTCACGGCTGCGGGCCAGTGCCGCCTGGCTCCACTAATCCAGGTCATTCTGGACTGCAGCCACCTGTACGACTACACCGTTAAGCTCCTTTTCAAGCTCCACTCCTGTGAGTACAAGCCCACTGGGCTCTGGGGGCCTGAATTCTCCCCCCACCCCCCATGATCAGGGTTCATTTGCTACCACAGTGACAGTGGGGTGGCTGTGGCTGGGATGCTTCCCATCCCATTCCCAGTTGGACAGCTGCAGATCCCCAGTTCCCAGGATGCCTTCCTAAATTTTGCTTCCTGAGAGTTTTCAGGGTGCTTCACAAACGTCTTGGTAATCTTTCCAACCTCCATGCAAGATAGGCTGGTTTTGCTATTCCCATGTGGCAGGAGAGTGAAGAGTGGAATGAGGGAGGCAAGCTTGTGTAAGGTGCACTGTTCTGGGCAGTGGGTTTTGCTTGTGCTGCCTGATGTGGTGTAGATTCCAGGGCTCTGTTCAAGACCGGGTTTTGAACAGGGCTCCAGTTTCTCAGGAAGTGCGATGGAAAGCAGCTAGAACCACGGAGAGTTCCAAGCATTCGATGGGAGGGTTTGCGCAACGGGACACGGAAAGGCTTTTTAAAACCTCCTTTGGTCTGTCATGTCACCCAAACCCTGTTGAGGCATTTCTTCATGGTATGTTTGGCTTTGAGAAAGCACAAAAGAAACAATGGTCCGTTTTATGGTGTCTCAGTACCACATTGCTTGTTGTGCCCTCCAAACCAGAGGTCACACTGTGGTGTGGTACTGTGGCCGGACAGTAGAGCTGCTCGGCGAGGGTGGCCTGTCGCTCTGGCCAAGCGGCTGGCTGGGGAGAGCCTCTGGCAGCTGCCTTCTCGCACAGCGGTCAGAGGTGCTCCCATTCCTCCTGCCCCGAAGATCTTATCTGGGGCAGGAGCAAGCAATCAGCTGGCCGGTGCCAGGAGGAAAGCAGTGCTGCTCAGGGGCTCTGCTGTCCCTGCTCCCACACAAGCAGCAGGGGCAAAGGTCTGCTGTGCGGTGTGGCGGACTCACCCGCCTTGCCACTTTGCATGAGGGAGCAGCAGCTGGGGGGGGGCAGTAACGCCTGGTTGAGAGCTGCACCCGTCAGGGGATCCGATCCCTCCACGCCGTTCCTTGGATGTGCCCAAGCCAGTGCTTCGCAGGTGCGCAAGCCAGTGGCGGGTGAGAGGCAGGTGCCTGGTTCAGAAGTGCACCCCACGGCAGGTTCCCCTGCCGCACCCCTTTCCCAGCCTGGCCTGCCCAAGAGCTGTTTGCTCAGCAGGGGCTGGCCTGCGACAAGCCAGGAGAAAGGGGGGCAGTGCTGCCACCCCTCGTAGCGGCCGGCAGCTGCTTCCCCTCCCTGCCGCTGGCTTGTTCGGAGGTCCTTCGCTCTGGTGCGTGTGGAAGGGCAGAGAGTGGCTCTGCACCTGTCCACAGGGCTTCCCAGTGGATTGGCACCCCTTTTTCCAGAGCAGGCCCCTCTGTGGCTGCCTGACCAGCTCCCAGTCCTCTCTGCAGTGCTTCAGGGCATGAGCCCTGGCTGTGCAGCAGGGACTGCTTGGCAACCATGGCAAGCCAAACTCCAACCTGGCAATCAAAGCTGTCAGAGAGAGGAACCTCCCTCCGTCCCCTGGGGCCTCCTGTGATGCACCTGGAAGACCGAGGAGGAGGAAAATGGCAGATGGGAGGAAGCTTGCCACGCTGAGTCTGAACATCCTTCAGGCACATCCAGGCAACAAACATGTGCGTGGTGGAAACGGCCTGGCGCAGCTTGTTATGACCAGTGGACCTGGCTGGTGTGTTGCGCCAGCAAACGTCAGAGCAGCTCCAAGGCTTTAGTGGAAGTGCGGCTGGACTGAGGCTGGCTGAGCTCTCCTCCAGGCTGGCATGGAGGCTTCGTCTCTGAAAGCGGCCTGGCCTGCTGTAGTGATTTCAGGCTGCAACCACATGGGGCGGCTGTGGCCTGCTCGTTTCCTCGTGGCCCAGCCATCAGAGGCTGCGCCTGTTGACACAGTGTCCTCGGGAGCTGCTCTCTGTGGTCTCCCAAAAGAGCTGGGTCTTGGGGGGCGTGAGCCTGAGGGTGTCTTTCCATCCTGAGAAACGGAGTCTGGAGCCCCTTCCTCTGAGGACAAGATCCAGGGTCCTGGTCCATGGCAGAAGGCTGCTTAGGAAAAACCCGAGCCAGCACCTCTGTTGAAGACCCTGGAGTGTGCAGTGTCACACCTTAGCACGGGCAGGTTATCTGACCTTCGCTGCTGCATTAGTTGAGCCAGTTCCTATATGTCAGGTCAGATCTTTGAAGAGCTTCCATTACCACCTGTAGAAGTCCTGCGGAGGCGAGGAGAGACCTTGGCAGGGCTGAGCTCTTGGCCAGTTCTCTTGCTCAAGTGCCCCTCTCTCCTCCTCACCACCACTTTGCCATGGCCCCAGCCCTGGCTGATGCAAACCGGCGTTCTTCTGTTCACTCACTTCTCCTGTCCACTGTTCTCCAGGTCTCCCCGCTGACACCCTTCAAGGCCACAGGGACCGTTTCCTGGAGCAGTTCAAGAAGTAAGTGCGTGTGTGGAGGGTACCCTGGCAGGCAGGCAGGCAGGCAGGCGTATATGTGTGTATCTCTCGCACAAGGTCCTCAGCAGCTGGGACTTGGTCAGCTGGCCTGCTTTAGCTTCTGGTGGGTCTTTCTATCTGGCCAAAGTGCGGTGGGTGTTGCTGTGCAGCGAGTCTGGGCCAGCACTGGATGAGGCTGACCTCCCTGGTGGCACGATCACTGCAGGAGAGAAGGTGTGAGGCTGGCCATTCAAGGCCACCTCTCGCCCCGAAGGTGCTCCGTGGACCTCCTGGGCTGCTGTCACTACCGAGAAGGCCTTTTCCGAGGAGGCACCTGCCATATGCTGAGCGAGCACAGGGACTCAAGGGGTTAAAAGAACACGCGGGGAGGCGCATGTGTGGGAAGCCCCGACACAGCAGCCCCGGAGTTCCAGGGTCCTGCTGACCAGGCTGTGCGCCGCATGTTGGTCCAGCTGACGTTTCTGGGCACATTTTTTTCAAGGGAGAATGAATGATTGCAGCTACACCAGACTTTCCCAGCGAAAGGGTGCAGCTGGCAAACCAGCAGGAACGTGTGAAAGCATCCCCGTCTCCGTTTGCCTAGCCTTGAGCAGCAGTTGGGTCCAGGAGCACCCACAGGCGCAACGTGGGACTTTCTGGAAGAACGTGGCCCTGCCCAGAGTGAGCTGATTTCCACCAGACCACCTGGCCTTCCTCTCACAGACTGGGTGCTGTGCCAGATGGTTCTTCCCCACGTGGCCCCTTGCAGGCCAGTGGCTTCCACCCTCCCTGGTTCTTGCATGGAGAAAGAGCGTACAGAGGGGTGGGGGCCATGTCTTTGTTCTCTATCTGGCTTCATTCAGTGGCTTCATAGATGGGGAAAACCTGGAATCATAGAAGAGCAGAGTTGGGAGGGGCCAAGAAGGCCATCAGGTCCAGCCCCTGCGATTGCAGGACCCAGTTCACCCCACCCCACCCCACTCAGAGGGCTGTCCAGTTTCGCCTTGAATGCCTCCAGGGTGGGAGAGCCAACACCTCTCCAGGCAGCTGCTTCCACTGCCCTTTTGCTCTGGTAGTGAGGAAGCTTTGAACCTGAGTTGTCCTACACTCTTGTATCAGTAAGAAGAGATCTTGGGCTTCCTCTTTGTGATAGCCTTTGGGATGTTATAGAGGAATATCATGTCCACCCTTAGTCTTCTGTTCTCAAGGGTTAGTTCTTTCAGCCCCATCAAGCCTTGTCGTGGCGAAGGGGCTTGCGTTGCTCAATGAAGCTATGAGCTGTGCCATTCAGGGCCACCCAAGACGGACAGGTCATAGCAGAGAGCTCTCCCAAAAGGTGATCCACTGGAGAAGGAAATGGCAACCCACTCCAGTACCCTTACCACGAAAACCCCACGGACAGTACCAAAAGGCAAAGAGATGAGCAAGGGACGGGTTGCACCTCACGAGGATGGGGAAAAGGTCCTTTGGAGACGCTCTAGCGAGCTTTGTCCGGAAGACTTTAAACTGTACGGGGGAGGGTATACAGTCCCCCCAGAAACTTGTTTTGATGGGGGTTCGATGTAAGGCAGGGGCTAGTGGGACTCCTACAAAGACGGCACCGGTATCAGGGAAGATGGGAGGGAGGAGGAGGCCGGGGGGCCCAAAGAAAGGGATTTGGGAGAAGGTGCTGAGATGCATGTATAGCAGTGCTAGGAGCACGAAGAGCTTGAGGCTCTCCTGGGAATAGGAGGGCATGACCTGGTGGGAATCACAGAAACTTGGTGGGATGAAAGGCAAGACTGAAATGTAAACACAGACGGGTATCACCTGTTTAGAAAGGACAGGGAGGGAAAGTGATGGGGATCCAGTAGAGGTGATCTGGGTGAAATTGTAGGGTTTCAATGGTGAGGGACTTGACAGTGGGGGTATGTTATCACCCCAAGTCAAATTGAGACCCTGGACAATGCCCTGACATACCAGATTCTAAGGATATCTTGGGGGAGGGACACGGTAATTATGGGAGATTTCAGTCTCCCGGATATTAGTTGGGAGACTCACTCGGTGGTGACAGCCAGGTCACGTCGCTTCCTAGAAGCTATAGAGGGAGGGTTTTTCACACAGAGGGTCCGAGAGGTGACGAGGGGGGGAAACATCCTTGACTTGGTCTTGACCAATAGGGAGGAGCTGATAGATGAAGTACAGATTAGGGGAGCTCTGGACACGAGTGATCACTCCATCCTTTGCTTGGAGATCAGGGGTCTGGGGACGTGCAGCAGGTCGAGCACCAGAAGCTGGGACTTCACGAGGGCCAACCTTGGCCAACTGAAGGCCAGACTGGGGAAAGTCTCCTGGGATGGGTTACTGGAAGGCAAGGGAGCTGAGAAGGGTGGCTGGCACTCAAAAGGGAGGTTTTGGGGGCTCAAGCCTTGACGATGCCTCTAGTTAGTAAGGTGGGGAGGCGGAGGAGAGCGCTGCCATGGTTGCGAAAGGAGGCTGTCAGAGGGATTAGACGGAAGAGGAACCTCCGTAGGAAATGGGTACTGGGGCAAGTAGACAAAAGGAGGAGGCCCATTGCAGAAGGATTCTTCGCAAGGCTAAGGCTGATTACGAGCTGAGACTTGCCATGAAAATCAAGCTGCCATTTCGGTGGGCAGGTAACAGCGTTCCTGCACCTCGGTGTTTAGTCATGCCGGCCACACGGCCACGGAGACCGTCTGCGGACAAGCGCTGGCTCCCTCGGCCAGGAAATGGGGATGAGCACCGCCCCCTGGAGTCAGGCATGCTTGGACTTCACGTCAAGGGGAAACCTTGACCAGAGAACAGCTCCAGGTGTGCTGAGCCTTGACCACATGTGCTCTTGCGCTCCGTAGGCTGAAGGATCTCTTCTACCGCTCCAGCAATCTGCAGTATTTCAAGCGGCTGATCCAGATCCCTCAGCTGCCTGAGGTGAGATCCTGGGGCTTTCAGGGAATACCATCCACTCCACTGGCTCTTCTAGCTTTTCTCCACAGTGCTTAAGCAGAAAGCTGCCAGAGTTTTGGCCTACAGCAGAGGTACAGAACCCTTTGGGCCCCATGGGTTGCACTGGTTCTGGATTGGGGGCTGCACGTGCAGATGCACAGTCTCCTTTCGTGCAGAGACCCTTCTCTAAATTGTGCTTTCCGGGCTGTAAGAGCAGTCTTTCCGGCATGATCAGGGGTGGGGGGAAGCGGGCCTAGGCAGCAGTGGGAGGCTGCAGTTAAAGCCTCCAGGATCCTCGGGGGTCTGCACCCCTGGCCTTAGGGGATTGCATGTTCTCTAGATGTGCCTCAGAGCCAAGATGGGCACTTGCAAGATCCTTGGGATTCAATGGCCCATTCCAAATGAGCTTCTTGTATCCCAGCTACATCCCTCTTTCCTTCCCCCAGAACCCTCCCAACTTCCTGCGGGCATCAGCACTCTCTGAGCACATCAGCCCGGTTGTCGTCATCCCTGTGGAAGCCTCGTCCCCCGACAGTGAACCGATCATGGATCTTGTGGAGATGGAAGCCACTGCACAGCAGGTGAACTGAACCGGGGTGGAGTTGCTGGCAGGCCTTGGACTTTTGGGTGCAGCCTGAGAGAGGGTGGCAATCCTTTGGGTTCCCGTCTCCGTCTCAGCTGCTCACGCCATATTCTTACGTGAGATGTTCTTTTGACTGAAATCCTGGACCTTCCCAAATAGGGCATCTCCAACCCCTTGGGTGAATGTTGAAGTCTCCCTGGACCAACAGGCCGGGTGACTCCAACGTCAGCACCGCCATCAGCTCAGGGAGGTGGCAGTGTGGGAGGCACGCCAGCCAAATCCTCCACCTGCCCCACTGGCTCGTCATAAGGAGCAAACATGGCAGGCCGTCAGACAGACAGGGGCAGAATTCTTACAGACTGTGGCAACTCCCAGCCCCACGAGCCTCAAGTCTGCCCCGATGGTGAGCCAAGTCCCCTGGTGGGCACAACTGGAGGAGGCGGGCTTCACCCTGCCCACCTGCCCAGGCCCGTTACACACACCAGTTCAGCACCTCACGCACTCCTAAACCATGAATAAAGAGATCTTATTCTGCACCAACCTGGCACTTGAAAACAGCATCCAGAGACCCGTGGGAAGACTGACATGCCAATCGCCGAAACTGCAGTCGCGAGGAGACCCGGAGCGCGGTGCAGCCATTAGCTTTCTGGCCTGCATCCCTCCTGCCTGGCCAGCCCTTCTCTCAGTGCCACACCTCCCTCGACCTCTTCCTACACGGACAGGGACCCCCACCACCTCCCCACTTGCCTCATAGGTAAAGCCCCAGGTATATGACCACAGAAGCACTTAAGATCCTAAGTGGCAAGTGGGTGGGACAAAGCATCCCGAAGGGGCACCCCCGCGCCATCAGTGTGACCCCTCTGGGACACCCCTGCCTGGGTGGCACGCTGCCCACAGCAGGCCCAGGAGGCTGCTGGGTAATCAGGCCAGGGGAGGCCACTCTGCCCTGCTGGGACCAGCCAAGTCAGCGGAGGTGGGGACAGCTTGCAGCAGACCCGAAAGCGCAACAGCCCAGCTCACCAACAGTCCTGGAATCTCTTCGCCCCTTTCAGGACGCAGAAAGTCCGGCCAGGGAGTTTGGCCTCACGGTTGAACAACGTCCATATTCAGCACAGAACTTAAAGCGGCACTTCTGTGCAGTTGCCCAGGCGGTGCCTACCACGCTCTCTCCCCACCCCTGCCCCGGCCATCAAGGGAGCACAGGAACGCCACCCCACCCCTGAACTTACTCACTTACTGGATTTGTTTGCACCGCACTCACAGCTGCGACTCGGCGCCCACGTGCGAGGGGCATCTCTCTGCACACTGTGGAGGCTGAGCGAGGCTCACGTGGCCTCGCGTGGCCTGACATCCTCCACCTTTCCTTCCAGAGCCTCGCCGACAACAGGTTTGATGACATCTTTGGGAGTTCTTTCAGCAGCGATCCTTTCAACTTCAACAGCCAGAACGGGATGACCAAGGATGACAAGTGAGTGGCAGCCCGCCTCCCGCTGTTCTTTTGTGGCTTGGGCGGGGGGACCGTTCTCAAGTGGCAGCCATTGCCCCTACCCGCAGGTCACGGCGTGACGGCTGCACTCCTGGAGGTGAAGGCCCGTCACCCCCCGCCCAGGCTTCCTTTATGCTCCTCGCTGTGCTGCTGGAGGCCACGCCTGAGCTGGTGCGGAGCAGAGGTGCCTCTCCCATGCTCTCCTCGCACACTCTTTGCCACCCTTCAGGTGGACAGGTTTGTGCACGGAGGGAGACACAGCCGTTGCTGGGAGAAGCTGTTCCCAGCAGCATGTCAGTGCTTGGGGCGTGGGCGGCTGACTAACGGGCAGAACCACCGGGACCCAGGCAACCGGGATGGGCTCAAGGGTCAGTCCAAAGGCACAGTCCCAACAGCAGAGCCGGGAGCTGAAGCGCAAGGCAGCGTCCATTCATGAGGCAAGCGTGGCCTGACAAGCCAGGAGCCGGGAAACTGAGAAGACATACCAAGGGGAGCAGGCACTTGGAGGACTGGAGCTGGAGCAGGAAGCCAGGCAGAGTTCCAGGAGCAAGTCCAGATGGCCAGCAGACCAGGACTGCTTCAGCAATGCAGTAGACACCTCGTTGCCAAGGCATCTTCTGAGGGGAAGAGCCAGTTCTTGTACAGTTCTTCCCCCGGGCTCCCAGGTGGCGCTCATGAGAGCCCCGAAGGCGGTGGCAGATGGGGGAGTGAGTAACCCTGCAACTGCCAGGGCCGCTGTGCTGGTTCTGACCAGCAGAGGGAGTTCTGAAGCCGCCTCTGGTCTTGACTCGGCACCACCCAGCGCTCGGGCTTCTCGCACCCCACTTCCTGGCTGCCACCTCTGGATTGCTCTGCATATCAGCTGGGAGGCTGCAGGGGAACCTGCCCTGTTCTTTGTTTTGCCATGGGCAAAAGGTTCATTTTGGATCCAGAAGCAGTGTGCACACAGGTGGATTAAAGTCTAAAGATTTTATTCTAAAACAGGCACTACAATGTAAACAGACATAATAACATGGAAAAGGAAATACACTACCAAGTAAGCTGGCTTTCCTCTATCAGCCATTAGAAGCTCCCCCTCACGAATGACAAGGGAAAAGCCCCAATTCTTAGCCGGCGTGTGGCACCTTCCTTGCTCAGCTAGATCTCACAATGGAGATCACTCGGGCAGGGCCGCAAGGCTACTTTCTCTATCCTAAATCTAAGAGTGGTACTTGCTGTAGAAAACTACGTCAACACAGTTAACTAGGCACACCTGCTGTTCCCGGCGCTCACGGTGAGAAGCTCCTCCGCTGTTTACTTTCCTGCATTCCAGTGCTCTACCATCCTAACTAACACGCGGCTTGCTTCCCTCGCATGCCAGAGGGCCTCAGCTGAGCCTCCAAAGGTGAGGCAGGACTAGAAGGGCAATTACACCCCCCGTCTCCTTGGTATACAATCGTCTCCCAGCAATTTTCCTCTGCAGTCTTGAATTGTAGATTCACCCCGATGGGGATTTAGAGGCCCAGCATCATTCCCTGGAGGAATCCAGGGCGGCTTTATAGGCCGGATGGGGAACTTCTCGGGCTGGATCAGGCCTCCTGGCCAGAGGTTCCCCAGCCCTGCTTTGGAGACAGCTTAGCAGCCGCTTCAGGTACATCCCAAGGTTCTCCCTGTGTGTGCATACCTGGAGGCACCGAATGTGAGCCCTGATGTACAAAATGGCACCCTGGCTGTCTCTGCTGGGATGCGATGGTGGCAGGAAGAACCTGGGGGTCCTCTGCCACTGAGAGGACGACCCATCCAGGGCTCTGTCCGTGGGGGAAAAGGCAAAGGCAAAGCGTGTGGCTGCAACACTGTCCTCCTGCAGCCACCTCCCTCGGAATGGCCCTCGTGCACAGAAGAAGCCTGCACTAAGCGCCCCGAGGCAACTGACTGCCGGTGTGAGGAACCGCAGCGTCTCCTTCTGGTTGCCCCGACTCTGCGGAGGCCTTCGGGCAAAAGTGTCCTGAAGCCTCAGACCCCGCACGAGTCGGCCCGGGCACCTGGCAGTGCCCTGCCGGTGACTCCAGCAGCCTGCTTCCTCTTTCCGTGCCCTGGGACAGTGATGGGTGAGAGAATCCCAGGTAAAGATGGCTCCTCGCTTCTCCGAAACCAGATGCAGCCAGAGCTCTTGGCAAAAGATGGTGCAAACGTCTTGCAAATGGAGCGAACCTCCGAGGCTGCCAAGCAAAAGCTGTCGGGGGGGGGTAGCTTGGGGGCATGACACCTTCAGCCCAGCTGATCAGTGCCCATCTCGGCAGCCTGGCCAGCCTTGCAGTGGCTGTGGTGCCAGGCGCCCTGTGGGTCGAAGTGACATTGGACAAGTTCCTGGGGGAGGAGGCTGTCCATGGCTGTGAGCTCCCTCCATTACTTGAGGCGGGATGTTGCTGAGGAGTGTGGGCAGAGGGAGGTCTTGCAGCCTTCTGCGCAAGGGATCCAGTGGGCAGCTGGCTTGCCACTGGGTGAACTAGGGCACTCGGCTGGATAGCCCGTGGGCCTGATTCAGCAGGGTGTGTTCGTACGGAATCTCCTGGAGTCCCGTGGGTGGTGGTGCTGCCAGTGCCAAGTCCAGTGCTAGAACAGGCCATGTATTCTTCACTTGCAAAACAAGGAGCCAGCTGCCCTCGTCATGGAAACCACCCAGCCCAGCTCCTCTCGACGTTTCTGTGCCCAGTCTTCACTGGTGAGTGCAGGTGGCGAGCCAGGAGGGGCGCTGGGAGCTGCCCTGCCTTGAATCGAACCCTTCTTCTGTCTGAGGCAACATTGTCCGCACTGACTGGTGGCGGCAGCTGCCCAGCGTTTCAGGCAGAAGCTGTTCCAGCTGTTTCCAGGCGTGTGTTACTGGCTTAGCCAGTACAGCAGCTGCAGCCCTTTCCAACATGCACAGGCCCAGCCTCGTTCTCCGCGCACTAGCGACACCCGGCTGGACTGTGCTGCCCGGGGGGCCGCTGCTGAACCCTGCCAGGAAACCTCAGCTGGCGCAAAGTACAGCTGCCCGAGCATCACTGTAGGGAGGCCATCGGATCATGGAAAGCAGCAGCTGCGCTTCGTCGCCAGGGCATGTCCAAGGCCAATTCAAAGTGCTGCTTTTGATATTTAAAGTCTTAAACAACTGGGGATCGAATTCTGTGCGGGATCGTCCTCCCCCCGTGGCCGCCTGCCTGCGCTGTCCAACTGGCAGGAGAAGCCCGTCTTCCTTGCTCCCCTTGGCAGGGCATCTGCAGGGCTTTTTCGAGGAGGACATACCTTTCCTGAATGAAGGTTTTTGGTGTTCTGCAGATTTCAGAAAGGCCCCAAAAACCTACTTGTTTGCTTTGGCCTTTCCCAGATTGTATTTATCAGGCGGGATTTTTTCCGCAGTTTTGTGTTTCAGTTGTAGCCTTCTGGTGGTGTCTGTTCGTTTGTGAGAGTTTGCTGTTTTTATTACTGCATCTGTTTCTTTTTGTGCAACATTTCTTGCTCTCTCTCCTGGATTCCGTGGGACCCCTGTAGTTCAGGATGCCTGTGGCGCTTGACGTGGGGAGCGTGAGCAGCTCAGCGGCTTTCTAGTCAGGAGCCGGGTGGAGAGGCACTGGGCTGTTGCCTCCTCTTAAAGCCCAGGATCCTCCCACACGACCCGGACACGGGGAGCCTCTCTCCGGCTAGCCAGCCTCCTGGCAGGCCAAGAAGAGCATTTGTGTGCCACCAGATGACAGAAGCCTCTCCCTCTGCCTCCAGGGACCGCCTTATTGAGCGGCTGCACCGGGAGATCAGCCTCCTTAAAGATGAGCTGAAGAACTACAAGGCAGAGGTGCGTGCGAGTCCCTGTGCGCCTCCCCCGAGCCCAGCCTGGCACACACCGGCCTCACCTGCACGGTCGCTTTGCCGAGGGCCACGGGGCGCGCAGGAAAAGCATCGGGGTCTGCATCTGCCCGCCACCGGCCGGTGTGCCTTTAGGGTAGTGCTGATCAGCGGCCACAGCCCGGACTGCTCAGACTGCTCCAGGCCAGTGAGGGGCCGGCTGGGGTTGCTGGCGTGTGGCTCGTCCTGCAGTCGTGTGTGCCATCTGCACCCGGTGAAAGCGCAGGGCGGGGAGAGGCCTTTTCCGGATACCGTGGCTATAGAGTCCCGAGACGGGGCGGCCTCTCACGTGCCGCCTGCCAGGATGGCCCGTGGCGCTCGGTTCTGCGCTCCAGCCCGGCGAGGCTGGCCGCAGCCCACCGAGCGCTCTCTGCGGTTGTGGAACCACAGAGCCACCGCCTGACGATGCAGCTGAAGGGGCGCGTGAGCGAGCTGGAGGCGGAGCTGGCGGAGCAGCAGCACCTGAAGCAGCAGGCGCTGGACGAGAGCGACTTCCTGCGCGCAGAGATGGACGAGCTGAAGAAGCGGCACGAAGACACCGAGAAGGCCCAGCGCAGCCTCACCGAGTTTGAGAGTGAGTAAGGGGAGGGGCGAGGGAGGGCAGCGCAGGCCAGGCAGAGGGGTGGGGAGGGCGCCGCCTCCAGCGGGTCCCAGTTTAATCCCAAGCGGCATTTCCAAGTCAGAGTGGGGAAATGCCCGCCTCTCGCTGCGAAGGGAGAGCTGTGGCTGCCGGTCACTGTTGGCAATGCCAGACTGAATGGACCAAGGACTCCCCTGAGGCCGAGGGAGCGTCTGGCTTAATTCTTGTGAAGAGTCCCTGCCTTTCCTCAGAACTGCGACATCTAGAAACTTGCGTTGTCATCAGGAGAATGACCATGAGCAGTGGCCTTGCTTTCCGAGGGCCCTACATTCAGTCTTGGACTGCATCTTTAAGGAGGGGTAGGAAGGAGTCTTGTCTGAAGCCCTGGAGAGCCTCTTCTGCCAGCTGTGCTGACACTGCTGGCGTAGCTGGACAAGAGGTCTGACCCAGGATGAAGCAGCTTCTGATGTTCCTCTTGAGGCCTGTTCTGGCTCTAGCCTCTGTTTGCAGCCATGCAAAACGTGCATATGAAAGAGGCAGACCAAAAGCATAAGTTTGGTATTTGTGGGGCTGCCTCACCCACAATCATCCAGCCAGTCGGCCCAGCTCACCCAGCCCGTATTTAAAGAGCAAGGCACGCATCTTTGTTGAGAGCGATGCTTCCTTAAACTGCAGCAGAGGAGTTTCCGAACAATTGCACGGCAGCACGCAAGGCTGCCTCCCCCTCTGCCCCGTGCAGGGCAAGCAGAGCCCTTGAAGAAGGCTGTGAAGCAGGCCCTCTCAGTGCTCAGTGGGGCGCACGGGGCATGTGTGCGTCCGTCCGTCCCTCTGGGCTGTTCCTCCACCATGGGGAGGGAGGGCCCCTGCCTGTTCTCCCTTCAAGGGCAGAGCTGGGCTTGAACTGCCAGGGGGCTTCTCCTTTGGAGTCCCAGGTCAGCCGCATCTGCTTTTGTTCCAGGGAAGGCACAAGCCACAGAGCAGCGCTACACAAAACTCAAGGAAAAGTACAGCGAGCTAGTGCAGAACCACGCGGACCTCCTGCGCAAGGTAACGCTGCGTGCCAGCCCTTCTTCTTCCTCTGCTGCACAACCCGGGAGGGATCCCTAGGGACCCACAGAAGTACCCCCAGAGCCTGTTGACCTAGAGGGCTTCTGGAGAGAGGGCTCAGTCATGACCACTGAGGAGACCTTGCGCAGCCAGTCGATCCTCTTTTTCGTGATGGATTATCTGCGGCAAGCAAAGAGATGGGAGAAGCCACGGGAAAGCACGGGAGGGCAGTAAGCGGAAGATAAGAATGAAGCAGGGCGAACGCCACGATCAAAGCCGTGCCTGGAAGCATTCCCAGTTACAATTCAGTACTAACTGTTGTCTTGCCCGCATGAGAAATCGAGGAGCCTTCTGGGCCAAATACAGACCAGTCAGTGGCTGAATTCCCAGTGAAGGGTGTTCTGATATTTCTGCATCGTGGTGTGGAATGTCAGCTGCCAGAAGAAGCAAGGCAGCCTGCTGCTGCTGAGAGCCGGGCTGCTGTGTGTTGCCCTGAGCAGGCATGTTTGCTTGGCCTGTCATCCGAAAGCAGTCTGAAGGGTCTCAGATGCCGGCCAGAAGCTGAGAGGCAGAGGAGACAACTCTGGGATGCTGGCATGGCTCCTGGGCTCTCCCGGCAAGACAGAACACAGACAGGAGGTGTTCCTGCTGTGCATCTGTGTAGACAAAGGTTCTGGGGTTAAGGAAAGCTTGCAGGGCTCCACGTTATAGAAAGGAGGACGCCCTTTGCCAGAACAGTTGTACCAATGAACGAAAGCCTCCGTTTCCCGTTGCTGCTGCTCCTGCCCGCCCTCCCCCCCGCTCAGCTCCTGCCTTGCCTTCTCCAGTCCCTGGCCATCCTCTGCACACTCTCCCAGCCTCTGCTGCTCTGCCAAGAGCCGACTTTTCCTGCTTCTGCTCCTTTTCCTACCGATCGACGTAGCACTAATAGGGCCAGCACCAGTCTCCAATTGGCCTGACAAAATGGCAGGCACCTGCCCATTTATACAATGGGGGCAGGGGACGGGCTTTGGAAAGTTCTAGGCTAAGCTAGAGAAGGCTGCCCAGATGGGACCCTGCGCAGGCGCGGCACCCGTATGCGCGAAGGCACAGGTGAGCACTTGAAGAACGGCAGCGACAGGTGTGCCGCCTGCCCGTCTTCCCTTTTGCTCCTGCTCCTTTTCCTTAGAACGCAGAAGTCACCAAGCAGGTGACTCTGGCAAGGCAGGTGCAAGGAGATGCAGAGCGAGACAAGAAGGAGCTGGAGGATTCTTTCCAGCAGCTGAGTGAGCAGGCTCAGAGGAAGGTGAGTCAGGAAGGCAGGTGGGGGCACCCTCCTTGACCTTGGCAGCAGGGGCATCATTCTCGCGGCCAAGAGGGACAGGCTGACAAGGGAGAGCTGTGGGGAGCGGGGGAGCTGGCTGGGTGAGCGTGCCGGTGCTCCTCGGTGCTTTGGATCCTATGCAGACGCAGGAGCAGGCGGAAGTCTTGGCAGCACTGAAGAGGGAGCTCACTGCCAGCAAGCAGGAGGTTCAGGCCCTGCAGAGTAGCATCGCATCCAGTGCGCAGGTGAGACACTTCTGCAGCGCCTTCCCAGCAGCTGTGGGAAGCGTTTCCACATCGCTCTGCAGGGAAGTGGCTGTTCACGGCTCAGCAAACCTCTTGCCCGCGAGGTCCCTGCTGTCCTCCCGGGCCATCAGGGGCAGGGCTGTGGGCACTGCAGCACCCGCAGCTGTCGCATGGGGCAGGCGCAGAAGCAAGGGAACTGGGGAGGGCTTCGAAACTGGGGTGCCCAGCTGGGGCAAGAGCCTGCAGGCCCCTGGGGGTCACAGCGGGTCTTATTGCGGGGTCTGTCTTGTGGAACTGAATGTAGTTGTAGAGAAGCCAAGAAGTCCTCTCCTCTCCTCCCCTCCCCTCCCCCCTCTCCTAGTCCAAAGCCGAGTGTAGCATCCAGCTGGCTGGGCTACAGCAGGAGAGCGCTGCCCTGACCCAGACTGTGGCCCGGTGTGAGGAGCAGGTGGCGGCCTTGCAGGCGGAAGCGGAGCAGCTGAAGGCCACCCTGGAGGAAGAGAAGCAGAGCAGCAGCGGGAGAATTCTGGAGCTGCAGAGCTGCCTCAGCGAGACGGTAAAATCAGCCGGGAAAGGCTTTGCCAGGGTGTGCCTGTGGGTTCACCTGCAAGAAGGACTCTTGGGAGGCTGTGGGGCAGGAGGTTGGTGTAGACCCCAATTTCCTGGGGAGGTGGGATTTAGGGTCTCCGAAAGGCAATGTCCCGTTCCATTGGGTTGAAGGGTGGGAGGTCCAGCTGATACGTCTTTTGGCTGGTGTTTCTGCCCAGGGAACCTTGGTGTGCTGCCAGCGTTTACCACTGCCTTCTGTTTCGCAGCGAAAGCAGCATTCTGCAAATGCTTGAAGTGCACCGTCTGGGGAGTTGAGGCGTACCTGAGGCGCCCTGTGCCGTTTGAGCACCGTGCTGTGCATACAGAGGCCATTTCTCAGCCTGCAGCGCAGCTGCTCAGCTTTGCCTGCCTGGTCTTGAGAGCAGCTAGCCCCAAGGCAGGTGCCCGTCTCCCATCTCACGGCGCTCCTCCTTCGTCCTCAGGAGAGGAGCGTGCAGGCCCTGAAGCAGCAGCTCCTGGACAAGCAGTTTGCCCTCCTGGCTTGTGCTGTGCGGGAGGCTGAGCAGATCGTGCAGGCCGCGCTGAACCAGCTGGAGGACCCCACGCATGCCCGCTGCACGAGCTCTGCAGGTGAGCCAGCCGCAGCCGCCGCTCCTTCCACGCTCCCTTCACGGAGAATTCCGGGCGGTCTGTGCATACGCAGCGCCAGTCTTCGTGGCAGCCCGAGGGCACGAGGTCCCCCAGCTCCTCTGCGCTGTTTGGCCAGCGTCGGTCGGGGGTGAATGCCCTCCTCCCCACATCGGGTATCTTTATCCAGTTACCTGGGAGCTGCCACCCCAGCTCCAAGCTCCATTTGGCTCGGCCTCAGCCTGTCCTCTGCTTTTCACCTAAGCCCAACACTGCTACTGCAGAAGGGCTAGAGGGAGGGGAGGAGGGCTCTCCCCCTGCCTGGCTGGAAGCTTGCGCCGAAATAGGGATGGAAGAAGGAGCCGCTGGACAGAGGCGTGGTCTCTGTGCAGTGCGGCAGTTGCTCAGGGGTAGAGGAAGGTGCTCAAAGGCTTCGGGCACGTTCAGTGCAACTGCCTCGAGCAGCCGGGGAAGCAATAAGATGACCAGGACGGAGGGAACCTGTCCCTTTCCATCGTGCTTTGCTGGGGAGGAGCAAGAATCGGGGGCATGTGCTTGCCTGCCAGCAGACGTCGCACACGGTGGGAAGATCCACTTCTCACCTTTGTCCCCTTGGCAAATTTGAAGCACAATTCAAAAGAGCCTGCTAGAGGGAAAGGAAGGGATCTGTTCAGCCGCAGAAGGAGGAGATGCTTTATGGTGCAAGAACGGTGTCCGTCCGATGCGGCCATCGCGGCTGCCTTGCTTTCTCAAAGGTGCGGATTCTGGGCTGGCAGGTCTTTATTTATTTATTTATTTATTAAAACATTTTTATGCCGCCCCATTCGCCGAAGCCTCGGGGCGGCTTACAACGTTAAGTTAAAAAAAATAATAATTATAACATTAAATTAAAAAATACAAACATTAAGTTAAAAATGCAAAAATACCAATATAAAATAAGCCACCCTGGCCAGATAAAATCCAATAATATTAACAATTAAAATGCCGCTTAAATAAAAAGGTCTTCGCCTGGTGCCAAAAAACAAATAACGACGGCGCCAGGCGAACCTCTCTGGGGAGCGCATTCCATAACTTAGGCACCCCTGCAGAGAAAGCCCTCCTCCGAGTACCCACCCTCCTAATTTCTTTCACGGAGAGTTCCCGGAGAAGGGCCTCTCCCGCAGATCTCAAGGGGCTGCCGGGCATATATGGATGTAAGCGCTCCATCAGGTAACCAGGTCTGCATTACAGCATGGCTCTAGTCCGGAAGGTTCCAGATGAACGCCTGTGAGTAGCACAGCAACTTGGCCATGCAGACAGACATGCATGGGAGCCTGGAGAGGTGTTGGGCGCAAGCCACCTCAGCCCAGCAGTGCCCTTGATCTGCTGCCTTCCAGCGCTCCCTCATTAGAAAAATCCACCCCAGAGCAAGGAGAGGGTGACTGGGGAGTCGAGGCAGTGCGCGGGGGGGGGGGGGGGGGGGGGGGCTTGTTTAATGCTCATCCTTTCTTTCATGCACTGTGTAGATTACCTTCTGTCCAGGACACGCACAGCTTTGAAGAGCACAGAGCAGCTCGAGGCCGCCCACAACCAGTACCTTGCTGACCAGTCAGGTGAGGCCCTTGTAGCCACAGTAGGGGGCCAGACAGCAGCTCCCACGCCGAAGTGACTAAGCCCAAGAATCTTCGGGAGCGCCCCCCCCCCCGCCATCTGCAGCAGTGTTTTGGCCCCCGTGCTGTATCATGGAGGGGAAAGCAGACCTTAGCCACACAAGCCACAATAGCCTGTTTCTTGTGGTATATTAAGGGATCTCAGCCCGCTTCCACGTGCCAGCAATCCAGAGGCACTTTCCAGCTCTTCTTTTTCTCCTCAGTGAGAAAAAGGAACACTTTTTTAAAGGAATAGACAGAAGAAGCAGTAGAAAAATGGGAGGGGCGTGCATGGAAGACCACGCTGTCTGGGGCGCCTGCTGTGAATGAGGCAGGGGTGGTGCCATGAAAGCACGGCCGTGTGGGCGCCAGCCCTGTGCTCTGCGTCCAAAGGTGGGGCTCTGGCCGGGGCTTCCCAGCACTCACGCGCTCCGCGTTTGCCCTCAGATGTCAGCAGCCTTTTGCCGTGCGTGATGCTTTTTGCTCACCTGATGGGCGACACCATCCTGCAGGCAAGCGCGACGTCGCACATGGCCCCCCTGGAGTCTGCTGACCGTGAGTGTCCCTGCAAGGCGAGGGATGGGGGACGGGCACAGGGCCTGCCTGGGCCAGGCCCCTGAGCAGAGACCACCGCCCTCTGCACGTTCCTAGTGCTGTTGGAGGCCTGCAAACGGTGTGGGAGTGAGGCCCTGGCCTACCTGGGCGCCCTGAAGGACAGAGCTGCTTCGGGAAGCGCTGACTGCACGGCCGTCAGGAACTTCCTGCGCAGGATCTCTGCCATCGGAGAGGTGAGGCCCGCACCGAGCGGGAAGGGCCCTGCCTGTCGCAGAGCGGGGCTCGGTGAGCCTTCGAGGTTAACCCCACTTCTGTGGAGGACCGTGAGCGCCGCTTCCTCTCGCGGATCTTGTGGGAGGGGGTAGCAGGCAGGAGGGATTCCTGTCTCTGGATTAGCCCTCTGCCGTTGCAGGATCTGCGCCCCAGGGGCCTGGACATCGAGCAGGAGCAGCTGGGGGACCTGGTGGACAGGGAGATGGCCGCCACGGCAGCAGCCATCGAGACGGCGGCAGCCCGGATCGAGGTGAGAGTTAGGGTTAGGGACACCCGTGTTGCCCGCTGCCCTGGGGGAGTGTCAGGATGAGCAGCCCATGCGCCTGGCCAGGGCGCTGCCACGTGGGACCGGCCCTTGGGTCTCGGGCACACTGCAGAGGGGCCTGCTGAAGGCCTCGTCCAGCTTTTCCGTCTCTCCCTCCTGAGTGGATTTTCTGCAGTAATAAAGAAGAGAGAAGTGTTGGGGAAACGGGAACAGTCGAGTCGTCTAGAGCCCCTGTCAACCCACACCTGCCCAGTAAAGCCTTGCCGGGCAGCCACTGGCACTGAGCCCCCTCCTGCTTCTTGGGGGACCTGGCTGAGCTGGCTGCACTTACTTATTTGTTTGTTTCTTTGTTTAAAACATTTCTATGCCACCCCCATCACAACAAAGCCTCGGGGCAGCTCACAACATAAGTAAAACATATAAATAACAGTTAGTACAATTAATTAAAAAGCTTGGTAACATCTTGGCATAAAATTTAAAATCCTAAAAATACATAATAAATTAACAATTAAAATAAGTTTTAAATAAAAAGGTCTTCGCCTGGCGCTGAAAAACAAATAACGGCGGCGCCAGGCGGACCTCTCTGGGGAGCGCATTCCATAGGTGGGGCGCCACCACAGAGAAGGCCCTCCTCCAGGCCCTCTCTGCGGTGCCACTTGACACCCTCCTCCCCCACTTCACACAGGAGATGCTGAGCAAGTCCCGGGCAGGAGACTCTGGAGTCAAGCTGGAGGTCAACGAGAGGTAGGTGCAGCAGGCAGGCGCTCCCCTGGCTGCTCGTGACACTGACCTGCCACGCTGGTGCTGCAGGAGAGGGAGGGAGGCAGGGAGAGGCCCCACCGACCACCCGTTCGTCCTGTGTCTGCTCCAGTGGTGCCCTCGGGGCTCCCAGACCCCTCTGGTGATGGCGTGGATGCGTGAAGGAAGAGGCAGGCCAATGGCAGCCAGTCCGTTCCCCCTTCTGACTCCCTTGCTGTTCTTGCACTCTCTCAACCCAGAACAGGGAAGAGTGGGCTGCATTTCTTCGAGGAGGGACATCCTGGAGCAAGAGGGTCCCTGACATCTCCTGGGTCAGATTCTAATCAAGGGGTCCTCTTGTGCTGCGGCGGAGCCTTTCTGGGGCGCTGCGAGCAGGCTCCCCGCCCCGGCGTCATCCCTGCCACGCCTGCAATCCACGGACACACTCCTGCTCGCTCATGCCAGTCCCCGAGCTCTGCCAGGAGAGAGCGAGGCCACCCGGTCTCTCCCGGGGCCCTGCTGCTCCTTGCCTGCCTGCGATGCTTCCCGCACAAGGAGGCCCCTTGCCTCTCGGAAGCAGCATCCACACGCTTGGGCTGGACTGCCCTGCACCCCCTGCTTCCTGTGTCGTTCTGTCTTGCAGGATCCTCGGCTCCTGCACAGACCTAATGCAAGCCATCCAGGCTCTGGTGGAGGCTTCCAAGGAGCTCCAGCAAGAGATCGTGGAGAGTGGAAGGGTGAGTCAGCACCGGCCTTGCCCTTCATCAGTCTCGGCACGCCTGCGGTTGGTGCCTGCTGCTCAGTGTCTTTTGTGCCTTCGTGTCATCCAGGGAGCTGCCTCCCCCAAAGAATTCTATGCCAGGAATTCCCGCTGGACGGAGGGCCTCATCTCTGCCTCGAAGGCTGTCGGCTGGGGAGCGACAGTGATGGTGTAAGTGCCCGGGACAGGAGAGCGGTCATCCCTAAGTGACTGCACGGGTGTGTCGGAACGGCCAGGCCCCCAGACAATCCCGCGAGGGGTTGTGGCTTGCAGTGCGGGAGGAAAAGATCCAACATGACTTCTGCCTTTTTCCAGAGATGCAGCTGACCTTGTCATCCAAGGCCAAGGGAAGTTTGAGGAGCTCATGGTCTGCTCACATGAAATTGCGGCAAGCACAGCTCAGTTGGTTGCTGCCTCAAAGGTAAGGCTCCTCACAGGGACCCTGAGCTGTGGAGCGTAGAGGTGGGGGGGGGGTGTCCACTGGCCAGTCACATTGCAAGCCCCTGAGAGAAATGACAAGGCAAAAGGGCAGAGGGCTTTCCTGGAAGGTCGGAATGCACAGTTGCTAGTCTGGGGCAGACCGCCTCCCTTTCTTTTTCAGCCGTCACTGCTGACAAGCCCCTGAGCCGAGCAGGCTGGCAGTTGCTTTTCAGATAGGCCCAGTTTGTGTTCTGGTGCCATTTTCTCATCGAACGGCATGTAGCTGCCTCCACATCGGCTGCTAGGGTGGCTTCTGCTCTGAATGCTCTCCATCCGTGTTGTAGCAGACTTCTCTGGAATGGCAAGCCGAGTGTCTCAACATTCCAGAGGAATCTCTCGTCCACAAAAAGTGCGATTGGTATGGGAATGGGGGAGACCCGGCAGAAAGAAGGGCTTCTGTGGTCAGCTGCCTTGGAGCAGGATGGTCCCATGTCAGACGGTGGTGGTTGGAGACTCAGCTTTTCTGGCAGAAGCTGTACTGCATGAGCCCCCTGGAAGCGCATGTTGTGGGTTCTTTGGGGGGCAGAATGCTTCCCTCCCACTTGGGAAGAAGCATCTGATTCCCTCTGTTTGGTATGTCAGGTGAAAGCAGATAAAGACAGCGCAAACCTCAGCAAGCTCCAGGTTGCCTCCCGCGGAGTCAATCAAGCGACAGCCAGGCTGGTGGCCTCCACCAAGTCAGCCAGGTCACAAATTCAGGAGACAGGTATGTTTCTGAGCACCCCCCGCCCCCACCACCACCACAACGGCAGCCCAGTTAATTTTGGGAGTCCGCTTTTCCTGCTCGAGCACCTGTTCTCCGAAGGTGAGCAATGAAGGCCTAGCATGTTTCTCATTAGGTGTAGTGGCCTCCTCCTGCTTACTCTGCATTTTGCTCATGTTCCATGGACACAGCTCCACTTGACAGCCACATGGGCAGGGCAGGGCAGGGCAGGGCAGGGCAGGGCAGGTGCCACCAAGGATTCCTTGTGTGTTGATTTCCTTTGCAGACAGCATGGACTTTTCGGCCATAACGCTGATGCAGATCAAGCGCCAAGAAATGGACTCCCAGGTACAGGGCTGGGGGCGGGAGGCAAAGCAGCGGGAATGGCAGGGTGCCTGGGAGGCAGTGTTGCAGCATGGGTGCCCCTCTGCCCCCTGCCAGGTGCGAGTGCTGGAGCTGGAGAGCCAGCTGCAGAAGGAGCGCCAGCGCCTGGGCGAGCTCCGCAAGAAGCACTACGAGCTGGCAGGCGTGGCTGAAGGCTGGGACGAGGATGAGAATGGTGAGTTGCAATCCGCAGGCCCACGGGCTTGCGTGCCACGCGGCACTGGGGTCGTGGGCCAGCGCAGTCATAGACTCGCTGGCCCTGGTGCGGTTCGCTGCCTCTCGGAACACTGAAGGGGGGGCAGGAGGAGCAAACGGCATTGGAAGGCATGTGCATCCTGGCTCCTGAGCTGTGGGACTGGAGAGACCTTTGCGACAGGAGACAGCAGTCCGGGGGTCTTGAGCTCTCTCTCTCCTAGTTTGTGCACCTGACTAAAGGGTTGTATCGCTAAACCAAAGGGACTAAAGGGTTGGCCTGAAGCAGCTTCAGGTTGCGGGTGGGAGGTAGCGGGTGGAAGCTCCAAATGGAAACCTAGAACATAGAAACAGAGCGAGGCAGAAGGGGTCTCCTGGGCCATCTAGTCTGACCCCTGGCTCCAGCCCGCTGTGCTCATGACACGCCTACCATGTGCCTGTCCAGCCTGACCTTGAACACTCTCACCGATGGGGCCTCAGCCACCTCCTGTGGAAGCCCACCCATACCCTGGGGGTCCCAACCGTGGGGAAGTACTTCCTGGCATCCATGTTAGAATAATTAGAAGCTTTCTCCTGTTTCTCCCTTTGACTATGGCCTTGATCTGGGGTTTGTAGAAAGGGGGTACTATGGATGCCCCTTTTGTTTGGACAAGCCAAAAAGTGTAGGAGCGGTGGAAACGGCTGGAGCCTTTAAGGCTCTGTCAGCATATCACACTCAGGATGCCCCAGGCAGGTTTGCAGAAGCCAACCCCTTTCAGTCACGGGTCCTCAAACTACAGCCTGGGGACTGGATCCGGCCCACCATGCCCATTGAATCCGTCCGCCATGCCCGTTTGGACCTGCCGTGCCCGCGCCCACCTGCCCGCCGCCGCCCACCTCGCCCTGTGCGCAGGAGGCAGCGGTTTGCTCGCTCGGAGAAAGCCACCTTCAACCGGGCAAGCCACTGCCTTGTGTGCCCGCCCCGCAGTGCCTGCCCGCCCACGCCTGTGCCCCCCTCCCCTCGCCACGGGAGGCCGCCTGCCCCTCACCTCACCTTGCCTCACCACACGCCCCACCGGCACCACCTTTCTGGCCCGCCCAGCACCAGCAGCTTTCAACTGGCCCCCGAGTGGAACAGTTTGAGGACCCCTGCTTTAAATCATGCCCTTCCATTGCGGTCGTCTTCCCCTTTGGCCTCCTCAGCTCGGCAAGCTATAAAACCCAGGAGAAGAGTAGGTGGAGCCCAAGTGGAAAGGCTGCCGGCGGCTCCATTCCTCTCTGCCTCTGTGCTTAGGTGCGCTTGTAGCTCCCTGAGGAGGCAGCCAGAGGAGAGGCTTCTTCTGCACACAAATGCTGATGAACTCATTTGGAACATACTGCAACGCCTGTGCTCGCCAAGAAGACATTCCTCCTGGGGCCGGCCACGCTGGGGCCAGGCATCCTGCAAGCTAAGAAGGTAGCAGCAAAGACGGGGGGAGAGGAAGCTACGCCCCCCTCCCCGCAGCCGCAGCAGCAGCAGCAGCAGCAGCAGCAGCATTCAAAGGGCTGCCCTGCCACAGCCACCAACTCTGTTTTCGTGTGAGATGTTCAAGCTTGGCAGCACTTCTGCAGAGCTGGATTCCTTTCCTCCTCCCTGGCCCTGGTTGCTTCCTGACTCGCACAGCCGTTGAGCTGCTGGCATTGCTGTTGCCCAGCCCAGGGTCGGCGGCGGTGGTCCTTCTCTGCTCGGCTGCCTCATCTTGTCCTCGGGGCCAGGATGGGGGCAGGAGATGCTGAGATTGTAAGGGACAAGGCAGATTACAGGGCTAGCGAATGCGGAGTCTCTTTGCAAGGGCCAGTCTGTGCCGGAGGTGGGCTGATGCGGCCTGCCCCGCCCCGCCCCGCCGCAGACCTGGCAGGCTTCTGCTTGAAGGGAGGGATTTCCCGGGCCAGGGAGCTGTGCTTCTGCCCCGCTGCCCCTGCTGCCGCCCTTTCCAGCAAGCCCTTTCCTGCTGCTTCTGGGTAGTTCACTGTGTGCATAGCCAGCAATAAGCAGCTGCAGATCCGGGGGGGGGGGAGGACAGGGGGGTGCAAGGCCAATGGGGCCCTTTGTGTGGGGGGCTGCCTGGGGCTCTGGCTGCTCCCCACACTGAGCAAGCTCGGTCATCTAAGGGCAGTGGGCCTGTTCTCACTGTGCCATCTTGGCCCATCAGGCTCAGGAACGGGCAGGGGCACTAGGCTGCCAAGTCATCTGGGATGGTCTGGCAGATCCTGTTTCCCTCGCACACCTGCCCACACCTGCCTCAGGCATCTCCCAGTCACCACGAACCTGCAAGAATGCTCCCAAAAGAAGGGGAATAATTGGTGCTGGTGCCCAAGTACAGGGCACCCTTTGCCAGCTCTGTTCTCACTCCACTGAAGGGGAGCTGAGCGGCACCTGTGCTGGGCAGAACACTGCCCCAGAGGAAGGCCTGAGCAAAGAGGCCTGGCTGTGGCATCGCAGTGCTCAAAGGCAATCAAATGCAGAGTGTCTTTCTGAATTCCACCATTCCTTGCCGGCATTTTCACTGGCTAGACAGCAAGAAGCAACTCCGTGTGGGCACATGAACCCCCCGGAGAAAAGCTGGCAAGGAATGCTCCAGCGTGCGTCTTCACAGCCTGAAGGACAGTCCGTCTGTCGCCTTGGCTGCAGCTGCCTCACCCTTGCCCCGGGCAGGCCAGCCCAGCCCGTGCAGCCCGTGGCCTTAGCACGAGCGCCCAGGCCGCCTGCCCCACACGGCCTGCCGTGGTCTCTGGGGGCACCGCAAGTGCCACTCGGGGCCCTGAGCGTGCTGGGCCCATTGCCAGCTCTTTGAGGGGGCAGGACCAGACACCTCAGCCCTGCCTTCCGAGGAGGGGGACGCCTAGTGGGCCTAATTTGTTCCCCGAAGGAGGTGTCCTGGTGCCCCTCTGCCATTGCCCCCAAACCATCAGTGCTGAGCCTGCGTGTCACACACTGCCATCCGGGGAGAAGGGTGGGCAGAAGACCAGGCTCTCTGCAGACGTACATCTGCCTGCGTGCTGTAGCAGTCCCCACCCCCCAGAAACGGTTGTTCAGACCAACAGCCTATCGAACCGGTGCCTGTCACACCCCAGGCCTTCTTGCCACCTGGCTGGCTGCCCACAAACCAAACAGCCCCTGCTCTTGCCACCGCTCGCTCGAACGGGGCCCTTCGGCCGCTGCCTGCCTGCCTGCCGGCCGACCTGCCTCTCCAGCGGGGACAGCCCTGCTGTTGCAGCACAGGAGGAGGAGAAGGCATGTCTGCGGTGCTGGCACATTAGCCTTCCGGGGACAACCCTTCTGTGCCCCCTGTGCCCCCAAACTACCTCAGGTTTGCAGGCTGATGGGCCGTGTGCATTGGAGACAAGAAAGGAAGAAGGCGGGGCAAGCCAGAGTGATCTCTATTTTGCCAGGAAAGTGACTTTCACGGGGCTTGCTCCTCCTCCTCTTTTTTACTTTTCCAAATTGGGGGCAGGGGGTGTGCTTTGCAGCTGAACAAACTTCCATTAGAGAAGATTCCCTTAAGTGAAGGAGAAAAAGAGCAGAAGAAAAGAGATGCTCACCATGGGCCTGGGTCCCTTCTAATCAATCCAGGCAGCCAGCTCTTTTTCCCAGTGAAGCTTTTAATTATTGTATTCCCTACAGTTTTCCTTTGTACGGAGTTGAATGTGTGTTTTCAATTTTTAAATAAATATTTCAACCCATTTCTGCGGGATCTGTGTTTTAGAAGGCAGGTGGCAGTGCTGCTTCTGGCATGCCGTTTTTTGGCTACAGCAACGGCGACATCAGAGGACCAAGCCAGGATGGCAGGGATGATTCCTGCCCACGAGGGAGGGAGCAGCTCTTACAGCTGCAACGCCTCACGCCTGCAGCGTAAACCTGCCTTCACAATTTAGTGCCTTCCAGATGTATTGGGCTGCAACTTCCACCATCCCCAGTGGCAAACCTGCCAAAGCTTAACAGTGGTGGTGGTGGTGTATAGCTGTTGTAGACAAATACATCTGGAAGATACCGCTGGCTTCCCAGAACACCTGGACAGTTTTGAATGTGATTGTTCCCTGGTTTTGTGCCACCATTCTGATGAAGAGTTCTGGAGAACCTGAAAGCTTGCACAATTTTCAGGAATTTTGGTGGGTCCTAAATAAAGGTATTGCTCAGTCACAAATTTTGGATTTTTTTTCTCCTGCACCAGCCCGGTTATTTCATTTCATTTTTTAGCTATATAAAAAATAACCGTCAAACACAAAATGTGCAGTTCTGTGGAAAAAGCTCACGATTCCAAAAGAAAATGCCTGCAGCTCAAAACTCAAGCTATGCAAGCGTATTTTGTTGATGGCAAAAGAGGCTCCGGCGTGACATGAGCGCTCGGGCAGGAGCTGAAATGCCAAACCCTCCCCTAGCCTGCTCATTCGGCTTGCCTCTGCCTCAGCGGACTGAGATGCTGGTGCCCACAGACGCTCGCTGACACAGGAGTGCGGCGCTCTCCTGGGGCGTGGGCATGCTGAACGCATCTTCACACTTCGCGAGGCATGAGGTGGGGTTGCGTCGCGGCAGAGCGTCGTCGCCCGAGCAGGAATGGCAGGGAGGCCCCCGCCGCCTGTTCGTGTTCTACCTGTGGCACCAGATCTTGGTTCTCGGTTCCTTGCTCACCTCATGGGTTCTTGCATCTCTCTCTCTGCATTGCTGGGCCAGAGTAGAAAGCATGTCTTAATGTCTTACGAACTGCCCAGCTGTCAAATAGGGCACATTTCTGGAAGGTTTGCCACAGTTAGACATTTTGTTGCAGCCTTCAGCTTTTTGGATGTGAAGAGAGGTAGTAAGAGGGATGAGAAGGAAGAGGCAACGTGAGAACAAGTGAATGAAGTAGACTGGGGCAAGTGGACAAAAGGTATACCAGGAAGAGGCGGCACAATCCAGAAGGATTCTTTGCAAAGCTAAGGCTGATTATGAGCTGGGACTTGCTAGGAATCACAAGAAAGTGTAAGGAATTACATCCAAGCAGTGATGATCCGGGAGGCAAAGTACCAAGCAGTAATAGTTTAATACGTTCTTGCAAGAGCGGGCGCCCACCACACAGGTAGCGCGCTGTTTACACACAAGACATTGCTTTTTATTCCCTTGTCCCGGCTCGCAGACCCTGCCTCTTCTCCCATTGGCTGGGTTACTAAGAGTTTACAATCTTCGCCGTCCGCCTGCATCATACCACTCCTTGATATGTTCCCCCTCCTGCTCATGCGTCCCATGTTCATGCTAATGAGCCCATTACCTATGAGAGGTGTGTCAGTTACTATTCATGGGCCCATTAAGCAGGCGCACTACCTTCTAAGAGTTCAACAGGTCGGCTTGGCCTTGTAGCCTCTCACTTGATGCCCACTCATTTCCCACATCTTGTGGGAGGATGAGATTGGACGAACAGGCCTTCCTCCAGGCTCATTACGGCCCGTTGTAAAAGGCAATCAATTTCCTGCTCTCTTCCACTAAAGGTGCCAGTTTTACCACTGCACCCCAACTTTACCCCCTCTGGTGTTCTTCAGGACTTTGATGTAAGAAGCACTATTACTTTTACTACAACTATCTACATGGTTCTATCCTCAGGCCCTTTGGCCTTCGGGGACTTCAATGATCCTACCCTAGCCCTTTATTCCACCCTTTCTTCGGTTTTCACCTTACCACTTAGTAACAGTAATTTTTCATTTCTCACAAAAGGGCTTCCACCTTCATGTAAATATGAGGAGAAAGGAGAGAGAAGTGGTGGAAACACTTAAAAGGGAAGGGATCCGATGACTGATCTGAGAGAACAAGCATAGATGTTAAATTATTTTGCATCTGTGTTCTCCCCAGAGAAGGTTGGGAGAGTTCTACCTGGAGGGCTAAATGAGGCTGGGGTTATGGGGGCCCAAATTGGAGTCACCTCACAAGAAATTGAAGAGCACCTCAAGGCTTTGGATCTTACAAAGGCACCGGGCCCCGATGGGTTATACATATGGGTTAAGGAGTTGGCAGGGGTGCTCTTGGATCAGTTGGCCTACATTTTTGGGGCCTCATGGAAAACCAAAGACGATCCGGAGGATTGGAGGGTGGGATCAGTGGTTCCAGTCTTCAAAAAGGGAAACAGGCTGGTTGGCATTACATCCATTCTGGGAAAGACAATAGAAAGGCCCATAATAGGGGAAGCTCCAGAAACCCTAAATAGGGATGGAAGGTTAGCATCCACACAGCACAGATTCTGTAAAAACAGATCCTGCCAGATGAACCTCGTGGAATTCTATGATAAGGTCCTGAGGTGGCTAGATTGTGGGGGGACAGTAGATGTGGTTTACCTCGATTTCAGCAAGGCCTTTGACAAAGTTCCACTTGATATCCTAGTCGAGAAATTGTTGAGCTTTGGAATAGATCGATGCCGTCTGCTGGATGAGGGCATGGTTAATGGACCGGAAGCAGGAGGTGACTATCAGTGGGGAATCATCAGGATGGCAGCCAGTGATGAGTGGAGTTCCCCAGGGCTCAGTTCTGGGACAGGTTCTGTTCAACCTTTTTATCAATGACATGTAGAAGGAGATAACCAGACTGCTGACTAAATTTGCAGATGATACCAAAGTGGGGACAGTGGCCACAACTGAGGAGCAGATGATCGAGATCCACAAGGATCAGGTCAGGCTGTGGAAGTGGTTCAGGGACAACAGGCCCACACCGACGTGGGTAAGCGCAACGTCTTGCACCTGAGACGCAGGAATAGGTGGCACAGGTAAAGGACGGGGGACGAGGGGCTGCAGAGCAGCACTTGTGAAAGGGATCTCGGGGTGCGTGTCAACAGCAGGCTGAACACTGTGTTTGCAGTTTCACAGATCAGGGTTTGCATTGCTTTTGCCTCCGCCCGTCCCCGCGCCCGCAGAACCCGTTATGTATAGAGCTCGGATTTCTAGGTCACACTTCCATTGCTCTGGTCCTGCTTCGGCCCGCGGGAAGTGGCCGGGGGAACCCCGGGTGCGGGCGTGTCCGGGGCACAGGCCAGCAGGCCCGGCGGGAAACGGGCCCGCAGCGAGGCTGCCGCGCGCCAGCCCCGCCCCGCCGCGCCGCACGCGCGCGCCCTGCCTTGCCTTCCCTTCGCTTCCCTTCCGCGCACGCGCCCCGTCGGCCCCTGCGCCGCCCGTCCGCGCAAGCGCGGGCGCGGGCCACGCCGGACGGAGGCGGCGAGGCGCGA